AATTCAGCGAAGCAGTAATATGAAAATGCTATAAAACCGTTTTCAATTATAGTACTTGTTATAGAATTTTTCTTATATCTAAAATATACAATTAGAGCTCGGAAAATTTTTTCGACATACATTGGAAAAGTTAGGCAAATTCTTTATTGACAAATACTTAATCATTGAGACAAATATTTTAATATAAATTTATCATTATAAATCTTAATATAAGTAAAATAAAAAGTTTCTTTATCATGTAATAAGAAAACAGGAAATGACGCGATAAGAGAGTCAATTTTACTTTAATCTAATTCCAAAACTAAGATAATAGTTAGCATGACGTACATACTTTTAGATTAATGAATGTAGTAGTGTCTTACTGTATTTTCATCATATTTCTTTAGCTAGAAAATTCAATCGATTGAATTGAAATTTCTTTTTGTAGATGAATATATTTTTGATAAATGTGGGTAAGTACTAGATTTATTGCTTGAATTTAAAATTAAGGAACAATGTATATAATGGAATTAGTCTTAAAAAGAACGAAGTAGAACAAATATTTAGATGTTAGCAAAAGAAAAATGATAAGCTCATTCGACTGATTATGAAACAGGAAATGTCAAGCAAAAAATATCCTATTATTCCAAATTAATGCGATTGATACGATAGGTTGATTCAGGTGATAAAAAATACAATTAGGATGATGTAGTTTGTAAGCTCACAGTGCAAACGTCTTAGAATTATAAAGTACAGTCGAGTTGAATATATGTTGTTGAATCAGCTTTTCTAATTTTCACTTTCCTCGAGATTTTTGGTCATGGCTTGTCTTTAATGATTTTTTAGTGAGCAGATTGAATGCTTTCAAAATGGCCATAAATCATCATGATAATGAATTTAATTCTGTTAATGCTTCTGTAAGCTCAATAATAACGTATAATAGGTACAAGCATCCATTAAAAGTATTGTAGGAGATGCGACAATAAAATAACATTTTCTAATAGACACAACGAGAGTGAAGGGAAGTGTAGATGTATACAGTAACAACTATACAGATATAGGTCGTATATTGATAGCAAGCTGACAATGAACACGGTGCGAACTATGATACCGATAAAATTGTTCAATTATGATTAAATTTAGTTACAAAACTACAGTACATATTTTTGAAAATTTAGGATGATAAATTATTTACTTAGCCGATACAAGCAAGATGAGTGCACATCTTGTTTGATCACAAGGAAGAGGGAGCATAATGCAATTCGTCTGAGAAAATGGCAAGAATTGTTAAGTTCGTGGAAACTGTACTGATATAAGGATCTCGTAGATTACTCATCGTTATCCTATATTTCAAAAGTTATTGTTGTTATGCAATACTGTTATTCTAATCTAGTATCAATTCGAAGAAATATTATATTATAATAATCCACGTATATTTGATAGATTAACTTAAATTGAAAGCAATGTTCCATAGTCAAGAACAAATAAAAATGCTCTACTTTTGTTAGCGAAAATAAGTTTTCGTATTTTTCGTAAATGCATTACTGCCAACAAAAAGTATTTATCAACTATCATTAAATTAAGCATCTACTTTTCTTGCGTATTGTATAACTTAAAGTTGCAATTACTATTTTCCTCGGAAACACCAAACCACCTCGATATATCTATATTCGATAAAAGAAGTGTTTTCAGCTGGAAATAAAAATCTTATGATATTGATTCTAGAAATTGCTTGACTCAAGTCTTTAATCGTGGTCGTAGAATGGTAGGGAAAAAAGAGGTGAAAAAAGCAGCTGGAAGGGAAATATTTGAGTCGGACATTCTCATTATCGGCTCTCTTCATCTTCCGGCGTGGAAAGCTTTTGCGCGGGAGCGCAAGGAGAAAAGAAGAGAAGCCTCGCGGGTATATAAGGGTGCGGGAACAAAAACGTTGAGCGCGGACTGTGGCACACGTTTCAATCGCAGAAAATGGCCATAGCAGACCAGCTGCGGGCAAAAATGGGTCAACAAATACATATAAATCGGCGTATCGTCAGCCAGCAACTTTTCTCCTCTCGATACTACTGCCAGAATTTTTCCCTGCTTTTCGATGGCAAACCATTTGCTCGATCATGCGGTGTACTTTTAATAACGTTGCCTTGCTTTATGTAATTGTAATGTCACTTGGTATTTCTGACATATAAGAACAATTTTTGCTCCAACTAAGATATTTTTAAAATCAGATCTTTCACCATTAACATGACACGTTTATGATATATTTATGTGTCGAGCGACTGTTGTGAGTTTGGAAATAGACCGAACGTGCAGGATAAAATCTATAATTTGACGCAACAAAGTACATAAAGTTTTACAAGGAAAAATTGTGAATAAGCTTTTCATTAAAAGCCAAACAAACGGGCAGTCAACGAGCAAGCAAGCGAACATTCCCAGAAACGCGTAAATTCGAATTCGCAGTGTGACTTTGGCTTGTTTGCACGCGGCATGCGCAGCTTTAAAAGCTATACACAGGCGCTGTGCGAGAGTACGAAAAAGCTTTTGAGGGTAAAGTTTCGCAGAGCGCGCGTCGAAATCCAGCACAATCGAAGGAACGAAGGGGGAAGGAGGAGAATAAGGCCTGCTTTCAGCTGATCGATCTTCCCCCAGTCTCTCAGCGAATTCTCTCTGTTTATATACTTATGAGCGCTTAGGTGGCGCTGCCGCGTTGTCTGCGAGCAACACGCCCGAATTTATGGGGGCATAAATTCGCCGCTCGTGATGCCGCCACCGCCGCCACCAGCCAGGTTTTACGGCTCGCGCTCTCGTTGCAGGTGAACGACGACGACGACGACGACGACAACGACGACGACAACGACGACGACGACGACGACGACGACGACGACGACGACGACGACGACGACGACGCCGCTGCTGCTGCTGCTGCTGCTGCAGGTTGTTGCTGCTCGATTGCTCGAGTTTTACGAGCCCCGGATAGATAGCTTTTCGACGGCGATTAGTCTACCTTTATTTTGTACATACATCTATTTCGTCGTTGTTCGCTACCCCGCTGGCTGTAACTTTACACGATAATATAATTAAGGGCGCGCTTGAGCCTCGATGCCGAAATTTTTTCACCGCACTCCTCATCGTTACAAGCATAATCACAGCATTTAATGCCTGTAGAGTGTATTATCGCAGAGCTGTATCCGTCCTCGGCAGAAATATAGAAAGATGAGCTGTAGGCGCATGATGTCCCTCACCAATTTGCCGCTCCACTTGATGCGAGAGAGTAAGCGAAACGAATGCACTCGGGTGGTCGGTCGCGCGCGCGCGCTCGCACGCCAAACGGTCTTGCTTGCGGCGCGTGCGCGTGCGAAAGTGAGACGAGGGCGAGGACGAAAAAGAGCGCTCGAAGATACAGAGAAAGAGAGAGAGAGAGCGAGAGCGACGTTAAGTGCTTCCGTCGTCGCGGCGGTGCCGAGGGACTTACGGTAATCGCGTTTAGCAATGACGCGTCCCGGCTGCCGTCGTCGTCATAATATCTCTCGCTACTCTCCTTTTTGCCTTTCTTGCCTCTCAGGCCGCTCGCGCTGCTTCATAGAAAATTCGTTCTCGCTATAAATGCATTTGCACCGATGCTAGCTCTCTCTCTCTCTCTCCTTCCACGAAGCCCGGCGAAACTGGCGACCTCCCTCGCTCTATTATTCGGACGTTTCTTTTGATGAATGCCCAGCGCGCTGTTGCGGTTCCTTTGGGCGTTTGTTTTTGTTTTTGCACGATAGTTTGGTCTCTCTCCCTCTCTCTCTCTCTCTCTCTCTCTCTCTCTCTCTCTCTCTCGCGCGCGCGCCGCAATTGCTGCGGCTTATTTACCTCTCGCCTCTTCGTCCGCGAAATACTTGCGACAGGGAATTTAACATTTGGAAGCGTTGCATAATTGGAGCGGATTCTGCGATTGCAGAGATATGGAGAAAATTTGACAAATTATTTGAGCGTGAATATTAGCAAAGATGACTAGGAAACGATGTCAGCAGAAATAGGACAAATAGGGCAGCGAATCTCTATATCGAGTGCGCGGTAAAAATTTTTGCAGTCGCAAGCGGCCGCGGAGTCTCTGGCGCTGAGTTATTCAGCACTCAAGTGATATTGGATTTGACGCTTTGTAAGCCCCCGAAGAACGGGAAGCCCCTCTCCGTCGTCGTAGTCGTCTTCTTCGTTGTGCAACGGAATTTTCTTTATCGACAATATCGAGTGCTCTAAATGGAAGCTTGACAGTGAAGTACGCTATCGATAATCTATAAATAATCGCGTAAAATCCATTTACGTCCGCTATTCAATAATAACTTCTGATATAGTGGCGCTTGTGTCCCGTGTCTTACTGGTCGCACCACATAGAAGCAAGCCGATTGATTATCGATCGTTAGAAGAACGCAATCAGCGGAATGAGCCAATCAATTGTCTTGTTTCATTTGACGAAACGTGGAATTATACGTTTGAGCTTGGAAATAACGAGGAAGCGCTGTGCCTTAAAAGCAACAAATCCGCAGTGTCTTGTTAAAAAAGTACGAACGAACGCTCGCGGAAAAAGAAGCAAAGTATAATGCCAGTGGCAGAAGCAGCAGGTCTAGCAAATCGCGCAAATATCCCGGGGAATCGGGAACTAAGGTTGAGACTCCATTCGTGCGTGTCTGTGAAAAGCGCCTATGTAAGTTGGAGCGTCCCAAATAATCGCGAATTCGAGGGGGCAAGTGGGTGGACCTCTGGCCCAGCTCCAGTCGCTCTTTTGGCGCGCTGCGCGCTTTTACTCCCGTACCGCCCGATGAAAAGTGCGCGCGATTTTCTCGCCGTCAACGCGCGGACGCTCGTGGAATCCCGGACGACCACTGCGACTACTCGCTCTGGCACGATAAGTGAGTTTACGTGCCGCTTGACCGCCGGCGCCATGTGTGGCGCTATCATTATCACGCTACCAATTTTTATTGATTACAATAATGTTTACTCCAAAGCACCGATTTATGTCCTAATGGAATGTATTTACTAAATGGCACTTTTATTCGATTCAAATTCAATTTTATTATTCGTACAAACATTGAATTAATTATAAAGAGACATATGGATTTGACATTCCGCACAATATTAAAAGAAATACAGTTTAATAGAAAAATCAATCGACACAGTGACAATGATAAAACTAAACGACAAGTTTGAAGTAGCAATTGTATTAACATTGACGACAACAAATCAAGTGCACGGCACTCTAAAACATTACTTTGTACAATTGCACTGCACTGAACCGTAGATTAAAATAAAATAAATTGTTGGACGTCGATAAAAAAGTAGTCGAGCTAATTATTATTAAATAAACGCGGTTCGTTTGTGTTATCCCTTCTGGAAGCACTGTTTCCTACTATCGATGTCAGCGTAACATTCGTTGACATCTATTGGTAAATTCGTCTTCGTGAACTCTTCGAAAGGACACATCTTTGTTTCAGTCTTACATTGCGCCTTGGTGCGGATATCGGTCTCACCTGTCGACCCATCATGATACAAGACCTATCGAAACATTGACCATTGAGTACAGGTAGCGTCCAACAATTCGCATAATTGAAACACTGACGTACCCGAACGTAATACTTGGAATCATGCTCCCAAAGCTCGACAATCACTGCGCTCGAGTACGCCGGCACGATTGGCTTCCACGTGTCCATGGTCCACAGAAGCGCAACGACGTTGAACTCATGTCCCCCGTATAAATTGATCTTGGGTGTCTTCTTGCCCATTATCGCAGCTGTCATGTCGTTGACGATTTTTCTCAAAAGCATACCTAAAGCGAACATCCGTGCGTGAACTTGGACGCTCGGTCCTATATCCATCAGGCGATACCTTACCTCCGTTCAGTCGCCTCAGGCGCTCGTTGTAATTTTGCGTATGATAGCGAAGGACGGCAGCGTTTCTGATAATCCGAGACGAGATATCGTCCCAATTGGGTACCGTGTCATTGGCCATAAGACCGACGCGCAGCTTGTGATACAAATCGGTGATCTCTGCATCGGACAACGCGGTACGCACATTCGTATGGTTCGACAGTGCGAGAAAGAAATCCACCATGCTCGCTATGGCAGCCACGAATTCCGATGACGTCTCCACGTGTTGCCTCTCTTCGAGATACCTACAGCCAGCCAGGCAATCTGGTGTGCAAACATCACCGACAAAACTTGTCGAGAAAAGAGCAAAATTCTCACGTCGCGCAATCGATGGGCCACAAGAGGGGATCGTCGGCTTGATCCTCCGGAGACTCGATGGATATAGGCTGCCAGTCGAGAGTGGGATGCCACCTCTGCTTGGCATCGGGTAGATAAAGGCCAGCCAGCACGAGGAGTAAACTGGCGCGCGCGCGCTCGGTGTACGTGCTACGCGCATACACGTCGTCGCGTCGATACTCCCAGCCCAGGAAGTCACTGTAACGCGAGTGCAGATACTGGCCGAGTTTGTAAGATTGCATTTTGCCAGCCTGCAAAAGACAATGCCGATGTCTACGTGGACGACTGTTGGTTAATGACGGCTCGTGGCTTTGGTGCGCGTACCATTGTGAGATCAGCCTGCGCACGCGGATCGAATTCGTGCGGAGCCTCCGGGTTGTGCGGGTAGGAATCCGGGCTCACGAGTACGCTCTCGCCATGCCGGAAGACCTGCGGATTTTTCTCGTGTCATTTTAATCGGCATTCGAGAAAAACACTCTCGAGCGGTATACTTGCCACGTGCACGGACTTCAACTTCTGATGGTCGCACGCGAACGTCGTGCGTGTCGCGTAGCCTAGAAAAACAGCTAAGAGCAGCGGTGCCAGAATCATTGACGACGCCCTTTATTGAACTTCAACGGTCAGTCGAAATACTCGTGCTGCGCGTGATGTGCACCGCTCGGATTCGGCTTATGCCCTCCGATGATATCACGCGTCGCGCCTCGAAGAAACACACTGCTGATCTCGCGTGTACTATAGACGGTTGCCGAGTTACTTGCAAGGATGAAGCTTCGCGATCAAACTTCTTCTGATTGGTTTAGGTTTGTGAGCTGGGAAGAGGGGAGAGTGCACGCGCGGTAGTCAGCAGCGTTGAAAATCTTAAATAGCTGCTCGCGATGGGCTTACCGCCTGATGTTTCAGCTCAATGTTTTTGTTTACTTTTGTACCTTCGCTCGAATCGATTCGCTCGTAAGCGACTCATCATTGCTTGACGTTGAAGCGCCATTGTTAACTTAATGAAAAAATATCTAAAAAGTATCCGCCAAGAAGAACTGGCCAAGAAAAAAGGCGTCGTTTGAATAAAAATGAATGAATCGTTAGCGTCACAGAGTGGCCGTTCATCGCGTTGCACTAGCATTTCTCGCAGCTAGTCTTATCGTTGAGACCCAAGGGTTCAATTACTCATTGCAAACTTTAACTTTTCTCCCTCTCTTTGCTACTTGTCTCGACAAGCTTCAGAGAACATGGTGAATTTGCCGAAGCTTTTCCTCATTTTCACCTCACTCTACGTGCTTATTTTTTTCTGGCACCTTTTCGAAGATCTCGCGAGAAAGTCTCGGCGCTGGCGGAAGACAGGCGTAACCCCAGCGCGATTTCCGCTCGAAGGAGCTCTTTCAAGCCGCCTATACCTTTCCTGCCTGCTGCTGTCTCGAGCCAGAGTCCAAGGTGAATCAGAGCAAACGATAGAGCGGCAGAGAAGCCGCCGTGTGTGCTCTTTCACGCATTTGTTTGGATGGCTTTCTTTGCTTTCTCAGCGTCTAAATCTTTGTCTAAATTTCTATTGGTCAGAATAATCGCAGAAACAGCGACATATCATTTCGGAAATCGTCTTGTTCGCCGTGCATGTTTACAAACACCTTCAGCGGCAGTCGACTTTGCAAACGTAAACGTCGAATGTCAACCAAAACAAACAAAATGTCTCCCGCGAATTCCGCACTAACAGGCCGAAAGGCCGACTGGCTCTCTGTTCAATCACCCGCTATGTACCCGCGGCTTATCATCGTTAAAATGCGACTCAATTACCGCAAGCAAGCAAGCAAGCAAGCAAGAAGAAGCAAACGAAGCCAAAAAATCCGAGGGCTTTTCTGTCCAATTTGGCCAGTTGCATCTTTTGGCCGCGCCACTTTGCCTCATTATCTTTTACAGCTTCCTCCCCGTCCAACACCTAGCCGTACATCTCATTAGGATCGTCGCTCGCGCGAAAATGCTCGCGATGCAAATTGTCCCTCTGCCCCCCCTCCCCCCGCGAGCTAGGCTAGCGCAGGCGTCACGTCGACGAATTTTGGATCGCTGCCACTGTGCAATCGCGCCGCGCGCGCGCGTCTCCCACCCTTAAAGTTTTCTCGTTACCCGGAAACACAATAATGAGGACAGTACGCAAGCAGGACACTAAGCCCTTTCTCTCTCTCCCTCTTTCTCTCTCTTTCTCTTTCTCACTCTGATGGACGAGCGCGATGCGCGCTTGTTCTCTTGCCCTGCCTGTTTCACGTAAATATCTCTCACGCGAGTGGCTTACTCTGGCATTTGTCGTACCTTCAATTTGAATTCGCATGCTCTCGAGCGCGCAAAGTTTAATTTATACGTGTAATCATATTATCACGCCACCGTGTATCATTAATTACGTTTGTTTGGCATTCCTTTTTTCTTTGATGACGCAGGTGAGTCAGATCAAACGTCTCTTTTGGCGCACGATCCGCGAGTGAGCAACCTGAAAGTATAATCAATTAACAGAAGTTTGACGACTCCAATTGGCACTAAACCACGGAGAAGGGAGAAAGCAAAGCACGACGAGCAGAAAATAAAGTTCTGCTTGTTTTCAATCAGTCCGAATCGCGAGATATAAATCAGGCGAAGAACCGAGTTGAGCGCAGCGGCGAGTGGAGGAAGTTGGAGAGAGGGGCATTTTTGCGACTTGATGAATTATTTTAAGTGCTCGCGTGAAATACGGGGCAAAACAGTTTTCGTCGTACAGCCGAACTTCAGTCGCGGGCGGCTCTTTACTCAAAAAGAAAAGTAGAACACAAAGTTGAAGAGAAAGAGGGAGACCAAGTATGAGGGGAAGGGCGAAAGCCCAAGCCAAAGAGAGAGACAGAGAGAGAGAGAGATAAAAGTAGGAGAGTCGGCGGCGGTTGATCGACACGGCTAAAAACCGCAATGCGGTAGCTACTCGGGATTTATGAATGGAGACACATCTCTACACTCTTGTACATAGCGAAATACTATACGCGAGCAGCAGTTTGCCACGATCGCGTTCGATCGAACTTAACGGCCAGGCGGCTTCGTTAAAGCTTGAGCGAAAAAAAGAAGGCAAAAGGGAGCCGAGAGCCAGAATTCCAAATGTGTGTGTGTGTGTGTGTGTGTGTGTGTGTGTGTGTGTGTGCACTTGGATGTCGTCCCAATCGCTGGAGCCGCCGCCGCCGCCATGCGATTTATACAGGCGAAAAACGAAAATACCTTTAAGGTTATTACCTTTATTAAATTGAACGTCGTCTCCCTCTCTTTCTCGACGGCAATTGGTATCGAGGCTTTATGGGGGCGTGTCGCTTGGCGACCATCCAGGCCCTCCCAAGAATATGGACCTGTACGCCGCTGCACTGGGCCACCTACATCTGCGAATTCCAACGATTTTAACCCACGACGAACTTTCGAGAGCCGCTGCAACTGCAAGGAAAAATAAGTGCCTTGCTCGCCCAAGAGTTTTCGGGCGCGTGCGCGCGTCTGCACGAGAGTGCTGGCTGAAGGACGACAAAAAAGGGACGAAGTGTTGTGTATTTTGTGCGCTGATAAAAGAAAGAACAGGATACCCTTATCGTTCCATTCAACTGTTCTGCACAATCGCAATCTACCTTCCTACTGTTACTTATACTCGCACCAGTTTATCGCACGCCTTGAGACATTTTCAGCAAACAATCGTTTAATAAGCTGCCGTAGGACAACAAACTGTTCTCTACGAATATAAGCCAGAAAAATGAGAAAAAGAACTAACCCTCAACATTTCGAGTGATTGTGAATGATGACTTTCAAATTTTATGAGCCACGATCCTTTCTCATTGTTGTTCTCCTCCCGACAAACTTGTAGCTAAAACTCGTGAAGAAAATCGTCGCCGGTATATATACGTATGGTCAATACGTTGCTGGCTCTTACAACTTTTGACGACAAACCGAAAGGGTATAGTCGACTTTCGAGCGAAAACTGCGAAACTTTCTTCGTCTCTTCGCTGGTCGAAAAAAATGCACGAAAAAACTGTCTACTCGCATAGAAGTAGTAGTTAGTAGTGCCACCCGGCTTCGAAATGAGCGATTCCGTGTAAACAGCGCAGGCGAAGTCACGTCATCTAGATGGTTTGCTCTGGGAGTTTTGTCTTCCGATGATTATCGAGCGTACGCGGCTACTCTCAACTGGTTAGGAAGGATGGCCAAAGAGCAAGAAAAACCCAATAAGCTGTGTGTGTGTGCGCGAGGGAAGGATCTCGCGGTGAAAAATTTTTTCTCGATATTTCCGATATCATTAATCATACATCTAGCGACGGCGCTATTCTACTGTCGATACTTATTAATCATTGATCTCATGGAAAGTAGGTTAATGCTCGCCGAATCGCTAATGAATTTTCCGATTATTAATACTCGAACGAATGTCGCCTGTATATCTATCTATATCTATCAATATAAGGGTTATTGATATTCATTTTATGAAAAGTTGAATGTGCGTGCGCGCGGCTTTATAAATGATGTTTTAACGAGTGGAAAGCCATTCGACAGTTATTGTTCGCTGCGGCCAAACGGCAAGGAAAAAATCCAATTGTCATTTTTTTCATTAACTCTAATACTACTGTGGCCGCGAATTAACTTTTTACCGAATGACGCAGGCGCGTCCGCGGAAATTGAATGGCCGTGCATCCAGCCGAAAGCTGCAGCCGGCCAAGATCAAATCCATAAGGTCATTATAGCAATCGAAACGCGTTGCCACGGCCGTTTTATATTCGCAACGCGTGCGCGTGCTGTAGCCGCAATTGCGGATTTGCTGTGTGCATGGTAAAGCCGCGAACGCGTTGACCAGATGATGGCAATTGATATTGCCTACGTAATTATTTTGAGGGATTTTCGAGTTTTCAATCTGCCGCCGACGAGATCCCTAGAGCCTCCATTTTCGTTTTCCATTAATCTTTTTCCCTTTCGTTCGACCTGTCTAGTTGAAATATCCATTGCTTGAGGCTGCTCTTGGAAATGACTTTCAACAAAAATACGTTGACATTTCGTTAATTAATTGCAGGCGAATGAGAATATCCGAGATCATTTGAACGAAAAATCTATTGAAAGCGAAATTATTACGAGATTCCGGTCGACTTACATTAAGAATGATCTTCAATAAATTCAGATACATTATCATTAACCTACATAAACCTGTTTTGTAAAATTTAACCTCGATATGTATTATATAGATTACAGAGGATAATTTTCTTTTTCCGTGAAAAATTTCATCGATTTTCGAGGTTGTGTGCAGAGAGCTTGGCGAGAAGAGAGAGATTAGGTCAGCGATTTCTTTTTCGCTGATTTATTGACGACTGTAATGTTGCGTTATCAGCGAGACTGGCCGTGCACGAAGCAAATGAATGTACGATAGCGAGTCAGCTGCGTACTGCGTTGAAATTACTCGAAAGCCGTTTCGCTGTGAAAAGTTACGTCACGTCTGCTCGCATAAAATGTTTTTCTTTTTCACACTCTCGCATTACTGTATCTTTGAGCGAGCTTAACCGTGGGGTTAAAAGCTCATGATTTCCAAAAGTTTCGTTGACCGAAATTACAAGAAACTTGGTGAATTCGTGCAGTAACAAGTCACGTCTATTTACAAAGCAAAACTCACTGCGCACAGCCGCACGAGTACGGAAGCGAAAAGGTCGACGGAAAAGCAAAGAACATTTGCTCTTCTTATAACCGGTAAATACAAGCGAACAAGAAGGGCGTCTGACATTTGAATTGTCCTCGTGGCCGTTCGTTCTTTTCATTTGGAGGATCGTCAGCGCGCGCAGCACAAACACGCTCGAGCTAA